TGATTAAACTATGTTTAGTTATGAACTAGTTTTGTAATGTGGCCCAATTGTAAAGAAGAATCAGGTCTGAAGTTTCACATTCATGATGCTTCCCTTTATGAGGGATTGTTTTGTGTCATTGAAGATACTTGTGATAGATAGTAAGAGCCTGTAATTCATGGCATCTTTTTTATTTGAGATTTTTCACATATTTGAAAAGAACTAAAGGAACTCAAAGATTTCTAAAACCTCTGAGATGACATAACTTTGTCAATCAGGATTGGACACAACTGCCCAGTAGACTTCCCAATTGCAAATTCTGTATTCATTTTCTCAAGATAACCTCCCCACAATGTACTCCCACAGAATCCGGTCTGTGTTTATTCATATGTCATGAACTAATACTCTCTAGGAAATCTCAAAATCACTCACACTACCAATGTCAGGTCCCTTTTCATAATGGTAAATCCAGCAGATTATTGCCGTCCTTGTTTCTCTGACAGGTCACACAATGAACAATTCCTCCTATTCTGGTCTAAAGGAAGAGGAAATGCTCCACAAATGAATCTTTCTCCTGAGACTTGTTTGGATAGACCATTTCATGTCTCAAATGGAAATTTAAAATCTCTGAGATAATACAGTCATTTAAGAATTTTGGAATTGCAATAGAGATGTCAGCAAGTCCAGTGCCCTAGAGAGCAACAGACTATGGACAAAGCCACCTGCGTCAACATAGAGAATTGGGTTGGTATCAGTAATGTTTTAATTTTTTTTGGTTTTGTTTTGTTTTGGTTAGGTTTTGGTTTTTGTTTGTTTGTATTCCTTAAAGGATGGAATTGCAGCTGTTTCAGAATGAATATGTCTTCACAGGGAAAATCACATCCCACACTTTGGATATTAATAAAAAAAAAAAATTCTTGGATGACGGCAAGCATCCCTCTCTACCTTATGCTCAAAGAGAAACCAGCTTAGACAAATTTGCATTCTACATAAGCCATCACCCTTAAGGGTCTTTTACAATTATGCCACAGGTTGCACTTTGACAGAGAACTTGTAGGTCTAGCCACTTAGACATATGGGTGGATTTCAGGGCAAAGATATATCCTATAGTAATTTCTAAAGCACACAATTGACCTTGCCTTGAACTAACAGATATCTGATAGCCTCTGACTCCTGAGTGCCAGAATGTAAACATTTAAAGAAGAATATCATCTTTCATACTACATCCAGGAGGGAAATGGAAGGAAATAGAAGAGTCTTCAGGCTCATAGTGACAATCCAGTTTCAGGTGTAGTGTTAGGGTTGAGATTCATATTTCAGGTTCAGTTTCAGGTTCATGGGAGGGTTCAGGTTATGGGTAAGTGTGAGGTTTCAGGTTTAGGTGGTAGATTCATATTCAGGGTGAGGATTCCTGTTCAGGTTCAATATGAAGGTCAAGTTAGGTTCAGTTTCAGTGTTCAGATTCAGGGTAAGGGTTCAGCTTCAGGTTATGGGTGATGGTTCAGGTTCAAGTTCAGGATCAGGTTCAGGTTCAGGTTCGGGTTCATGTTCAGGCTAAGGACTCAGTTTCAGGGAGAGGGTACAGTTTCAAGGATAGAGTGATAGTTCAGATTCTGGGTTCAGGTTCAGAACAGGATGAGTGTTGATGGATCACAGTGAGGATTTAGGTTCAGGTTCACAGTAAGTTTTCAGGTTAATTGTTCAGGTTCGTGTTGAGAGTTCAAGATCAGGTTAATGGTGAGAGTTGTGTTCAAGTTTCAGGATAAGGTTCAGGTTCAGATTTCGTTGAGGTTCGAGGTGAGGTTTCAGTTCAGGTACAGGGTGAGGGTTCTGGTTCAGGGTTCTTCTTCAGGTTCGGGTTGAGGGTTCAGGTACAGGTACAGGTTTCAAGGTCATATTCAGGTTCAAAGAGAGGGTTCAGGTTCATGGTAATATTCAAGTTCAGTGTCTCACTGAGGTCAAGTTCAGGTTCACATTAAGGGTGAATGATGAACTTCAGGTCAGGGTGAGTGTTGAGGTTGAACTTTCAGGTTTACTTTCCTGGTGAAAATTCAGATTCATTTTCAGTGTGAGGGTTCATGTAGAGGTTCAATGTCCGGGTTGAGGTCCAGGTTGACAGTTCAGTTTGAGGTTCAGGTTCAGTGTGAGAGTTCAGTTTCAGGTTCATTATAAGGGTTCATGTTCAGAATTCTTGTTCAAGTTCAGAGTGAGGGTTCAGGTAAAGATCCAGGTTTGGAATACAGATTCAGGTTCCCTTTGAAGGTTAATGTTGTGATTAAGGGTGGAGGTTCTAATTTAGAGTTGTTGTTCAGGTTTGGTGTGAGTGTTCATGTTCAGGTACAGGGCAAGTGTGAGGGTACAGATTTCAGGTTCAGGTTCAAGTTCAAGTTCAGTTTGAGGGTTCAGGTTCATGTTCATCGTTCAGGTTAAAGGTTTCATTTTCAGGTTCAGGTTCAGCATTCATGTTCATATTCGGGTTCAGGGTAAGGGCTCTGGTTCAGTGTTCTTGTTGAGGTTTAGTTTCAGGGTTCCTGTTCAGATTCTGGGTGGGAGTTCTTTTTCAGGGTCCTTGCTCAGCTTCAGTGTGAGTGTTCAAGTTTAGGTTCAGTGTGAGGGTTCTGGTTCAGGGTTCTTTTTCAGGTTCAGGTTGAGAGTTCATGTTTAGATTCAAGTTCAAATTCACATTCTGGTTCAGGTTCATGGTTATGGTTGAAGTGTCAGCGTTATGGATCATGAAAAAAGATCAGGTTCGTGATGAGGGTTCATGTCCTCATTCAGTGTGAGGGTTCAGGTTTACGTTTCATGTTCATGTACAAGATGAAAGTTCATGTTCAAGTTCAGGGTTAGAATCATATTTATATTCAGGGTGAGGGTTCATGTTCAGTTTCAGGGTGAGGATTCAGGTTCTAAGATCTGGTTCAGAATCAGGGTGAGTGTTCATGCTCAAGGTGAGGATTCAGGTTCAGGTTCTGGTTCAGGTGGAGGGTGAGGGTTAATGTTCAAGTTATACTTTAAGTTCAGGATCAAGGTTCAGGTTCTGGTTCAGCATTAGTGTTAATGTTCATGTCCACGTTCAAGGTGAGTGTTCTGGTTCACAATTCAGGTTCTAGTACAGGTTGAGTGTTCATATTCATGTTAAGGTTCAATTATGTGTAACGTTTGAAGATCATGGTCAACTTCAGTTCATATTCAGTGTGAGGATTCATGTTAAGGTTCAGGGTGAAGGTTCAGATTCAGGTTCAGTGTGATGGTTCTGGTCCAGGATCATGTAAAGTTTGATTGTTCAGGTTCAGGTGCAGTGTGAGGATACAGGTAGAGGTTAAGAGTTGAATTTCAAGTTCAGGATTTGGATCAGATTCAGGTTCACTCTTCCTGTTTAGGGTTAATGTTCATGGTCAGATTCAGGTTCAGGTTTTGGGTTCAGATTCAGAGTCATGGTGACTGTTCAATTTCAGGTTGAGAGTGATTGTTCAGGTTCATGTCCAGGTTCATGTTCAGGTTCTGGCTCAGTTTTGTTTCCAGGGTGAGAGTTCTTGGTCTGGGTTCTGGTTGAGAATCAGGGTGTATGTTCATGTTCGCAGTGAATGTTCAGGTTCAGAATCAGGATTTAGGTTCAGGCACAGTGTATAGCTTCAGATAAAAGTTCAAGGTTAGGGTTCAGGGTGAAGGTTCATGTTCATAGTGAGGAATTAGGTTCAGGTTCATGGTGATGGTGAATGTGCAGGTTTGGGTGAATTTTCAGGTTCTAGTTTAGGGTCAAGGTTCAGTTTCAGGATCAGGGTGTGTGTTACACATCAGAGTTCAGGTTCAGATTAGAGCTGTGAGTTCAAATTCAGGTTCAGGGTGAGGATTCACTTTTGGGTTCTTGGTGTGGGTTCCAACTTAGGGTTCTGTTTCAGGTTCACAGTGAGTGTTCATTTTCAGGTTCAGAGTTTAGGTTCAAGTTCAGGTAAATTGTAATGTGTCAGGTTCAGGTCAGGATTTAGGTTCAAGTTCAGTATTCATGATCAGGGTGAGGTTCAGGGTGAGGGTTTAGATTCAGATTCAGAGTGATAGTTCAGTTTCAGAAATGACTTAAGTTTAAGTTTTATGGCAAAGTTTTGGGTTCAGGGTAAGGTTTCAGTTAATTTTAAGTTTTAATGTTCAGATTCAGGGTTCAGATTCTGGATGAGGTTTCAGGTTCTGGGTTCAGGTTCAGATTCATTGTGAAGGATCAGTTGATGGGAGATGAATAGATCACTGTTGGCCAATACGAAAGGAAAATCGGTGAGAATAGGAGACATCGATAATTCTGGAAGTGGTAGGGAGCAGGGAAGATGGAGGATGAAGAAAGAACACAAGCCCCTCTCTCCAGTAAGATGAGACAACGTAGAAATTGGTTAATATTTAACAGAGAGGTTGCTGATAAGAAATTAGTAACTGGCCTACAGCATTATATCTAATATAATGTCTCTGTGTTATTTGGGGCTGTCTTGGTTGTGGGACCATACTTTAGGGGGTAAAAACAACTAGTAATATTCACGTTCATGTCTATGGTGAAGTTTCATGTTTTGTCTCAGAGTGAATGTTCAGGTTCCAGTTTTAGGTGAGGGTTCATATAGAGGTTCAGGGTGAGTTTTCAGGTTTGTGTTCATGTTCATGTAAGCGTTCAGGTTGAGCTTTCTGGTTCTGGGTGATTGTTTAAGTTCAGGGTCAGTGTTCAGGTCCATGCCCTGTGTGAGCGTTCAGGTTCAGGATTCAGGTTCAGGTTCAAGTTTTAGGTTCAGGTTCAGGTTCACATTTAGTTTTAGGCTCCAGGGTAAGATTGAGGTTCAGGTGCTGGCTTCAGTTACACATTCAGTGTGAGGGTTCAGGTTCAGGGTGAGCTTTGAGATACAGGAAAGATTTAAGGTTCAAATTAAGGTTTCAGGTTCTGGTTCATGGTTCATCTTCATGTTCAGGGTAAGGGTTCAGGGTTCAAGAACATGTTCAGAATGAGAATTCAGATGCTGGGTTTCCGCTGCCTCCGCCGCCACCGCCAAGGCCTTCCCGTCGTGGCTGTGTCGTGGTTCGTGTCACTGCACCATGTCCAGTGGCCTCCTGAAGGCGCTACGCAGCGACTCCTACGTGGAGCTCAGCGAGTACCAGGACCAGCACTTTCGGGGTGACAATGAAGAACAAGAAAAATTACTGAAGAAAAGCTGTACGTTATATGTTGGAAATCTTTCCTTTTATACAACTGAAGAACAGATTTATGAACTCTTCAGCAAGAGTGGTGATATAAAGAAGATCATCATGGGTCTGGATAAAATGAAGAAAACGGCATGTGGGCTCTGTTTTGTGGAATACTATTCGAGAGCAGATGCAGAGAATGCCATGCGGTATATAAACGGAACTCATCTGGATGACAGGATCATATGTACAGACTGGGATGCAGGCTTTAAGGAGGGCAGGCAGTTTGGATGTGGACGGTCTGGGGGTCAGGTTCGAGATGAGTATCGGGAGGACTATGATACTGGGAGAGGCGGCTATGGCAAACAGACACAAAAACAGTGAGTGGTGAAAGGCCCCAAGTACACAGCTCACTCTGTTGATGATGTTGGAGAACATTAACCAAGGTCTGATCAGTATAATATCTCTGTTGCACTGGAAGCCACTTCTGGTTTTCCTCTGAAATATTAAAAGACAGAATCCAAAAGAATGACTTTAATTCTAGTCTCATTAGGTTGATTTTGTTACTAGGTCAAAAACTGTATTCCTGGGCAACAGAATCTGTGTCAATTAAACTGTCTGCTGAATGCCACACATCTTTTAAGGAGACTAGGAAATGTCAGAATTGACATTACAAGCAGGCTAGTAATCTTCATGGGGCCAGAAATGATTTTTTTTATATTGTAAGTTTGCATGTGTACTACTGAGGTTTTGCTATAGTCTTTATAGTAGCTTGGCTTTTTATATTTCAATATAGTTGGTACAGAAGTCAGCCTGCTCTGGTCCTGGAATGCTCCCTGCCTCTGTGCTTATACATCAGTACTTGAAGAGTGTTCACTAAACACATCCCTCAAAAGATATGTTTCAGTGACAGCGTAAAACAAAACAAAAACCAAAACCCCAAGGACTGTTTTATACAAAGAGCCTCTGCTGTCCAAAGAAGTAGAGGAAGACATTGTCAGTAGGGAATGGAATCTAAGTTCAGACACTGCCTTGACATATATATTGCAGCCATTAGATCATTTCTTCCCATTTTCAAAACGACCTTGGAATAGAATGGACTTTTGAAAAGGGCTTCAGCCAGGTCTATCCTAGCTACTTAGGAAGCTGAAACAAGAGAGTCAAAAGTACAAGGCCACCCTGAGGAACCTTTTGAGTCTGCCTCAAAATATTAAGTAGGGGAAGATACAGGGTACAGTGGGTAGATACCTACATGAGGGAGCAACGGTAAGAGTTTGAAAACTGGGAATCTCTAACAACACAAAGCCTGCTCCAGGAAATGTTTGTTGTAGCCAATAGTAAGCTGAAGGGCTCTACAGAGGAAGTCAAGAGAATTTTGCATTTTTGTTCTAATATTACATGATTTTTCATGATATAAAAAAATGGTGGGGGGGGTCTTTTCATCTGCTACCTTCTAATTCTCACAAGTTTTTCAAGAGTGGGACAGAACATTATTGAGGCTGCAATAAGTGTGGTTTTCTTGGAGCTGTAACAACTGTAATGAAATAACTTAGGGAGCCCATTTGCAAACACATTAAAATAAAACTTTTATAATGCAAAAAAAAGAGAGAATTCAGATGCTGGATTCACTTCAGATTCAGGGTGATGGTGAAGTTTCACTGGGAGGAATTAGGTTCAGGTTCATGGTCAGGTTTCTATTTCTGGGTCAGGTAGAAGGTTCAGGTTCCTGATCCAGATGAGTGATCAGTATCAATTTCAGGGTAAGTGTTGAGTTTACAATGCAGGGTGAGTGTAAATGTACAGGTTCAGCATGATTTCTCAGGTTCTATTTTAGGGTCATGGTTCGGGTTCTGGTTTAGGGTGTTTGTTCTGCATCAGGGTTCAGGATCAGGAGGAGGTTTCAGGGTGAGGTTTCAGGTTCTGATTCTGGATTATGTTCTGGTACAGGTTCAAGTTGAGAGTTCAGGTTTAGGATCAGATTCTGGTTCAGGTTCAGCACGAGGGTTCAGGTTCAGGGTTCATGTTCAAGGTCAAGATGAGGATTCAGGTTCTAGGTTCGCCTTCAGAATCAGGGAGAGATTATATGTTCACCTTGAAGGTTCAGGTTCAGGCTCAGGTGTCAGTTCAGGTACGGGTTCAGTTTCAGGTTAATGGTAAGGGTTCAGGTAAAGTTCAGGTTCAGAGTGAGGGTTCAGGTCAAAGTTCATGGTAAGGATTCAAGTTCAGTTTCAGGATGTTTCACGTTCAGTTTCAGGCTGATGGTCCAGGTTCAGGTGAGCGTTCAGGTTCAGTGTTCTATTTCATATTCAGGGTGTGGGATCACATTCAGTTTCAGGAGAGTTCATGTTCAGTTTCAGTGTGAGGGTTCAGTGTCATGTTCAGGTCCAGGTTTAGAGTTCAGGTTCAATTTCATAGAAAGAATTCATTTTCTGTTTCAGGCTGAATTTTCAGTTTCAGGTATAGGTCATGTCTTAGGTTCATGTTCAGGGTACATCATCAAGTTCAGATTCAGATTCAGGTTTACTGTTGAGGTTCAGGGTGAGCATTCATGCTCCTGGTGAAGGTTCAGGCTCATGTTCAAGGTGAGTCTTCAGGTTCAGGTTCAGAATGAGTGTTCAGTGTAAGAGTACACTTTCAGGTTCATAGTGATGTCTCAGGTTCATATTCAACTTTAGGGTGAGGTTATGGTGAGAGTTCAGGATTCAGGTTAAGGTTCTGGTTCTTGTTCAACTTGAGAGTTCATATTCAGTTTGACAGTTCAGGTACAGGTTCAGGGAGAGATTTCAGGATCAGTTTCAGGTTCATGGTGAGAGTTCAGGGTAATGGTGAGTGTTACTTTCAGGTTCAGTGTAAGGGTTAATGCTCGGGTTCATGGTGAAGTTCAGATTCAGGTTTCAGGTTCAGGTTCAAGTTTAGTTTTAAGTTTCAGATGAGGGTTGAAGTTCAATTTCAGGGTGAGGGTTCATGTTCAAATTCAGGTTAGGTTGAGGGTAAGGGTATAGTGTTCAATTTCATTTCAGGGTGTGGGATCAAGTTCAGGTTCAGGATGACGCTTTAGGTTCAGGTTCATGGTGAGAGTTCAGGGTCAGATTTTAGTTCAGCTTTTGGTTACAGGTTTAAGTTTAGAATGATGGTTTATTTTCAGTTTCAGGGCTATGTTTCAGGTTCAGGTACAAGTTCCAAGATTAGGTTCAGAATTCAGATTCCAGTTTAGACTGAGGGATAAGGGTTTCAGTTCACTGTTGTATTACAGGTTCAGGGTGAAGTTTTACGTTGATGTTCAGGGTGAGGGTTCACATTTAGGTTCAGTGTTCATGTTCAGAGTGCAGGTTCAGGTTCAGGTTCAGTGTGAGGGTTCAAGTTCAGGGTTCATGTTTAGGTTCAGGTTCAGGCTTAGGGTTCAGTTTCAAGTTCTGGTTGAAGCTTCATGTTCTGGTACAGGTTGAGTGTTTAGGTGTAGGTTCAGCGTGAGGATTCAGATTCATGTTCAGGGTGAGTGTATATATTTGTAATCAGTTTACTTTAAGGTACAGGTTGAAGGTTCAGATTCAGATTCATGGTGAGGGTTCAAGTGCAGGTTTAGGATGAATTTCCAGGTTCTCAGTGAAGTTTCAGGTTCATGTTCATGGTAAGATTTCAGTTTCTGGTTCATATTGAGATACAGGGTGAGAGTTCAGGTTCAGGTCAGGAGGAAGGTTAAGTTTCTTGGTTTAGGTCAAGATTCAGGGTTCAGTTTCATTTTTAAGTTAGAGGGAAAGTTCAGTTTCTTGGTCTAGGTGCAGGGTTAGGGTACAGGTTCAGGTTAAGTTTTGGCTCTGTTTCAGGTTTAGTTTCTGTTTCAGGGTGAGGCCTAAGATTTATGGGGAGTTTGGGGGTGAGAGTTCAGTTTCATTTTCAGGGTGGGATTCAATTCCAGTTTCAAGGTAAGGGTTAAGGTTCAGGTTATTAGTAAATTTCATGTTAAGGCCTCAAGTTCAGATTCAGGGTGAAGGTTCAACTTCTGGTTCAGGATTAGTATGTAAGGTAAGTTTAAGGAATCAAGTTCAGGTTAAGGTTTATAGTGAGGGTTCAGGTTCAGGTTCAGGTTCGAGGTTAAGTTTCATGTCAGGTTCAGTGATCAGATTCATGATCAGTTTGGGAGTGAGGATTCAAGTTCACCTCAGGGTGAAGTTTCAGGTTTAGGTCAGGTTTAAAGTTCAGGTTCAGGTTTATGTTCAGGGTGAGGGTTCAGCATTCAGGTTCAGAATGATGGTGCAGATTGAGGTTCATGGTGAGAGTTCTGGCTCAGGGTTAAGTTTCAGTTTCAGTTTAATACTGGCTGTTGTATTTCATGTTCATTGTAGGGTTCATATTCTGGTTTAGAGTGAGGGTTTAGGATCATGTTTCGGTTTCAAGTGTAGGTTAAGGATGTGGAGGAAGGTTCAGCGTTCTACTTCAGACTCAGGGACCAGGTTCTGTGTGTGGGTTCATGTTCAGGTTACGTATGAGTTTTCAGGATCAGGGTCATGGTCTTGGTGGAAATTCAGGTTTAGGTTTAGGCCCAGGTTAAGGTTTCAGGTTCAGCTTCATTTAAAGTTTCACAGTTAATTTTCAGGTACAGTGTGAATATTCAGATTCAGGATTCAGGTACTGTTCAGTGTTGAAATTCAGGTTCAAGTTGTTGTTCAGTTATAGGTCCATAGTAATAGTTTAGGTTCAGATTCACCTTCCTGTTAAGAGTGAGTGCTCAGGTTCTGGTTTAGAAAGCGTTTGGTTCCTGTTCTGATTTGGAGTTCAGGAACATGACCTGGGTGAGGGATCACATACAATTTTAGGGAGAGGGTAGCTGTTCAGAGTCATGTTGAGTGTTCATGTTCACATTCAGTTCTAGGTTCAGAGTGAGGGTTTGGGTTCAGGGTCAAGGTGAAAGATCAGGGTCAGTGTTCACATTCAGTTTCATGGTGAGGGTTCAGGTTTAGTTTCATTGTTCATGTTCAGAGTTCAGATTCAGGTTTAGGTTTAGAGAGAGGGTCCAGGTTCAGGGTTCATGATCATTTTCAGGTTCTGGTTTAGGCTTAGGGTATAGGTTTAAGTTCTGGTTAAGGTTTAAGGTTCAAATTCACAGTCAGGGTCAGAATTCCGATTCATATTCAGGGTGAGTGTTCATGTTCTTAATCTGGATCACTTTCAAATATGGGGTGAAGGTTCAGGATCAGATTCATGGTGAGGGTTCAGGTACAAGTTTTGGATGAGGGTTAAGGTTCAGTTTCAGGTTTCTGAGAAATTTCTGGTTCAGGTTCATGATGACAATTCAGTTTCTTGTCCATATTTAGATTCAAGGTGATTCAGGGTGAGAGTTCCGTTTCTGGTCAGGGAGAAGGTTCAGGTTCTTGGTTTAGGCTCAGGATCAGAGTTCAGGTTCAGGTTCATGTATAGGATGAGACTTTAGGTTCAGGGTTAGTATGAGGGTGAGGGTGAGGTTTCACTCTCAGGGCACGGTTCAACTTCAGGCTCAGTGTGGTGGTTTTCAGGTTAGTTGTAAATTTCAGGTTAATGTTT